CGGATGACAGCTACGTATGACTTAATTTATTTTCTGGTGCTATCACTTCCAGAGACAGTTGTAAGCACTGTGTAACTGCCTCGAGGAAGCTTGACCATTTTTAACACAACGTGGTACGATCATCCCCCGTTGCGCGGAGTGAGGTTTCTCCACCCCGCACAACATGATCTACTCGACCACCATTATGGTTACCGCCAAAAAAAAAACCGAGGTAAAAAAAAAACAAACGGTAACCTGGTTGCCGAGTTCACGAAGTGAATTGGCTTGTTTTACAACGTCGTTGCCAAGCGACGAAAACCCAATCCCGATGGCAAACACAGGGGGGGGCGGCTTGTTTTACAACGTCGTTGCCAAGCGACGAAAACCCAACCCCGATGGCAAACACCGAGGGGCGGAGGGGGGGGGGTATTTCTTGATGTACTCTAAATCCTATATAAAACGACTCCACACTAATTCCTTCCTAACATAAACCATTATTTGTCTCAGTACTGCTGCTGTTGTAGGTCAATAAATAGTATTGGTACCTGCGGCGTGGTCCTACATAGACTTTGGGTAAATGGCATGAATCTCCTGAGCCGGTGTAAAGGATATGTGCCTCTGAAACATACCTGATCCATCCCGTAACCTCCGCAACGTAAGTAGTCGAGCTAAGCACACCACAAGGCTCTGTCTGCCATGAAACCGCTTGTGAAACTGCCCGGGAGGCGTAATGCACCGACCACTTACGCACTAGGCTTTCTTACGGCAAATGCTCCACCCGGCTCGGACGACCGGACCGGGGGGGTTGGGGGGCCCACCGTGACAGGGAAGCTCATGGTTTTGACTCTGGGTCTTGTGGAGGGGACAGTCGAATCGTTCGAGTGGAAGGATCGGGTGCTGGATGTCCACACGTACACCTGCCCGACGAAGCTGATAGTTGAGCTGGACCCAGACATGACCGACGCGTTAACGAACGCGTTTACAATGGAGGGATTATCGGGCGTACGAGACGCACTAGTTTTGACGACAGAGGAACTGCAAGGGTGGAACGCCTTGCCTACCCTTCGGAACACTACCTCCGGGAAGACCCCCCCTCTCCCTGTAGACGATTAGCTCATCCACGAGACCAACAAGACCAACCAGACGGGTGAGGCGGGAGTGTCTTGGGAGTCCTCGTCGGCGTGTATCAATGGGAAGGTCCTTTGCACGTGCTGCCCCAAGGATATCAACATGAAGATAATGCGGCTTCATATCGCGGGGCACATCCTTGAGAAGGTGGGTGGGGTGTGCGGTGGCGTACGTAGAACTAGATGAATTCCACATCATGCGACTTTAGCCATCATCACTAATAGCTTGCTTGCGCGTGTACGATATTGAAACTTACCTGCGCAGGACTTGACGGGGGGCGTGTGTGGCTTGTGTGGTCAAGACAATGGCTGCAACTCTTGGGTGAACACACCCCAGACTGGAAAAGCAGCTCAACGGGTTTATTCCCGATGCCCTTGGGCTCCCAGATCCGCCAAGGACGAAGGTTCCATCGTCTCGATAACCCTGAATTCGGCTAAGAAAAATACCAAGAACATGCCGTGTACCAATGTGCCGATGGGGTTCATATTCTGTAACCGATGGGAATGGAAATTCTCCATGAGTAACCATGTTGACGAATTACACGCTGCGGACGCGAAACTGAGGAAGACCGACTCGAAAGGTCAACAGTTTCTTGAGAGCATTATTGTGGGCGAAGATGAGAAGAAAGCTGTGGGCGCAATGCTCCAGAAGGATCTAAAACGAGTGGGTGGTGGTGCACACAAGACCAAGGTGGTGGTTCGTGGGAATACCACGGGAAAAACTGGAGCCAAAGGCAAGGGTGGCAAAGGAAACCGTCGAGTGGACACCCCCAGCGAATCGAGCGATTCTTCCAGCGACTCGAGCGATGATTCCTCCATCGAGCCTGACAGTGGTGATGGTGATGAGGAAGAGGACGTGATTGAGGACGACGAGCAGGACAACGAACAGGAGGACGAAGAAGAAGAAAAAGAATAAGAAGAAGAAGAAGAAGAAGAAGAAGAAAAAGACGATGAGAAAGAGGAAGAGAAAGAAGTCGGCGGCGAGGGGGCGGCGGGTGGTAGCGACCACCGCGCGTCTAAGGAAGTTTCGTGTATAAGTAGGTTTGGCCGGACAGTGACGAAGAAGAGGAAGTGGAAGGAAGGCTAGTCATAGGATGATGATTAGGGGCAAGAACGCGAGTGGAAGGGGCGCCTTATTGTGGGCGGGGGCAAGGCGGGGAAGAAGAACCAGCTTACGAAGAATCGCCTGAGCATGTACCTTCTGGGGTGCTTGCGCCATAAAACACAGCCGGACTCTTACCGGACCAAGCGTGCCGGGACTGGAATAAATATTGTTGTGTGTTGGTGTGAACCACTTGTGCTTGTTGTTGTCTTCACGTTAAAAGCCGTTCCGATCTCTAAGTCCAGTACTTTCGTCTGTTCATAGTGATCTAAAAGTACACGCGGTCGATTCCCGTGGCCACAGGCCTGGGGCAAACTCAACTAAAAAGGAAGAGCCCCCAAGCCAATAGAAATCAACGACAGAATATTTATATAGAAGTAGTCTGCCCCCCCCCCCCCCATCTACAAGTGAGATAACGATGAAACCCAATGTCACAGCACCGGCCGGAGAAACACAACACCCTAACCCTATACTGGCGGCGGCGTGGTGTTCCGTGCGGGTCCTTGCCGATCGATCAGGCCGAGTTGGCAAACAATCTACAACAACAGCAGTACTCATGACACCATCTCTATTATTTGTCACTACACACTCTACAAAAACATCAGTCTTCCAGCAACAACTCACGCAGTTGAGATTTATCATTTCGACAATCTCTTATTATTGACCAACTAGAGACACACGGCAGCAACAGGGCTTCGAAATACGCACTTTGTTTCGAGATTTATTTTTTTCATTTTGGGCCGGCTGAGGGGGGGGGGGGGGGGGCGGGGGGGGGGGGGGGGTATTTTTGGGCCAAAAAAAAAAAAAGGGGGACCCCTTGGGGGCTTTTTTTTTTCCCCAAGGGAAAATTTTTTTTTGGGGGGCTTTTTTGGGGGGAAAAAAGAGAAACCCCCGCATTAAAAAGCGCAAAAAACCGAAAATTGCGACCGTACCCGCTTTTTTGGGTGTTTTTTAAAACAAAAAACCCAAATTTTTCTTTCGGGGGGGGGCCCCCCCGGGGGGCCCCCCGGGGGGG